GTCTAGTGTTGTTTTGTACCCCGATTGACTTTCATTGCATAGACAAAAATATCTGAAACTGTAAGTTTCAAAAAGAAAGTAAATAATGACCGAATTTAAAGTCCCCCTGTGGTGAAAACCAAGTTGTTGTTTATGTCTGTGTAGTGTTTTTAAAATGCTTTAAGTCAAACCATGTGCAAATGTCATTGCTGAGTATTTTGTCCTTAAAACTGCAGTGAACAAAAGATTGCTGGTGTTTCTGACGTCACAAACTACCTTGTAACCAATCAATGTCAACCTGTGGGCGGGCTTTAGTATATCATTGACAGCGAACTAGCAGGGGAGTCTCAAAAGAAGCCAGGTTATCCCAGTATATTCTTCTGTTGTTATGACAAATCGGGTAGATTTGTTTTACAATGTTATGATGAACTATATGTCTGTCTCCACTGACGTTCTGAGTTTCTGATGATTGTTAGAAGGCAGCTGAAATGGCGAACGCCGAATGGAAACATGGTTTGAGTAATGCCTGGTTCAGATTACATGATTTTTTTGTCTGTTACGATAGTCACTGTGTCAGATTACGCGATTTTGACTCCTAAAATCTTGTCACATGTCAGACTACACGTTGCTTCCTGACCAGTCCTCGCGTGCCATCATCGAGAAGGCGAAACTAGTAGCGAGTGACTTCCGGAAACGACCGTAAACAAACAATGGATGAAGCTGTGAGTGTTGTATTGGCTGTCCTGTGTTCAGAAAAACGTTTAAAAAAGAAAGAAAACCCGACAATGGACACACTCCTGAATTGCTCGGCATTGCCTTTTTAGCGTGAGAAATACACGGTGTGGCGTGTGAGTGTGTGAACTGGTTGAATTGCGTGTGTCTCACGGCCATTGCGTGAGACTTGAGAAACCTGCTTGAAGAGGACAGTATGGGCTGTCAATCCTCCAGAGAACTTGAGGTAAAATATTGTTTTCTTATATATTTTTACTTTTAGTTTTAACGTTAGCACCATCGTCTATCTTTCATTTCGCCATTTTTGAAAGTTGTGTACGGAAAAGCTTGTGCTCCTATTGGTCATGTGACGGAACCGTCGTGGACGACCGTTACAAAATTTAAACATGCTAGTCTTTTTGTCGTGATGTCGTGAAGCATCGCAGACGCGACGTAGGTTGTCGCCCACTATGACACACTATACGAGATGATACTATTGAATCTTGCGTCCCGACGCCCGTTGTCGTTTACGAATCCCCACGACACCCTACGTCAAACGGATCGTGCCAAAATCGGGATAAAATCGTGTAATCTGAACCAGGCATAACACACAATATTAGCTGTTTGATAACGTAGTCAAGCAAAAGGCTAATCATATAAATACTAGGGCTGTCAAACGATTAATCGCGATTAATCGCATCCAAAATAAAAGTTTGTGTTTACATAATATATGTGGGTGTATTGTGTATAATTATTTTGTATATATATAAATAAGCACACATGCATGTATATTTAAGAAAAAAATATTATGTATATGTAAAATATTTATATATAATATATAAATTATATAAATCTATATACAGTATATACATGAAAATATATCTTAAATATATACATGCATGTGTGTGTATTTATATATATAAAATAATTATACACAATGCACCCACATATATTATGTAAATACAAACTTTTATTTTGGATGCGATTAATCGCGATTAATCGTTTGACAGCCCTAATAAATACCATTACTGTTATGTGTCCATGTTGTAAAGAGCGATACCATTGTGTAGCATTTACATTAGTAAGTTGGCCGAGTGGGTCTTTGAGCTGGCGCGAGTGAGTGTAGGCGGGGCTAATTTGCATATTCATGAATCAACATGAAGCAAGGGTGCAGAGTTACAATCAAGCAATTTAAAGGCATGAAGAAAGTTTTTCACAGGAAAAAACTTTTAAATATTTCATTTTGTTGATCAAAGATGAGTTTTAAGGGATAAAATGGACTTTAAATTGAACTATCCCTTTAACAGTTGGCATGTTTCCTTTGTTATTAAATGTAAAAGTATGTTAAAAACAGTTGACCCAAGTTCACTCTCATAAACACAGTGAAGTTTTGAAAGCTGGTAAATCCTTCCTTTACCCCACCAATGTTAATGGTTAATGTAAAAAATGTCGATGAGTCTCATTTTGCTGTTGTGAATGGATTTACACAGTGATGTCTAAGCTGGCTGGTTAGTCAGTCGTTGTAATGAATGATTTGATGATTCCCTTCACTTCATCAACAAACATGTTGGTGTGCTTCAGCATTTTGACCTGTTAAACTGTTGTTCTTTTTTTGGTCCGTTATTAATGCCGGCCGAATCTTTAGGCTCTGCTCGTTCATTCATTAGAGCAGATTGCCCTGCCAAGGCCCCCAAAATAGCACTCTGTTACCAAAGAAACGGTCCTCGCTTTCCACTTTATTTCCACAAAGTGTTGTAGTAGATTACTCTAATCCTGTATATTGGCTAACAAAGTTGTTTTGATAAGCTCAGTTGATTTCCTGCCTGTTTCAAGAATGTGCTTCTGAAAGGTCGGCCTGTTGCAATCCTGCCTGTGGGTGTGTCTCGTACCGAAGGTGAAACATTTGCCAGTTGAAGGAGGTTTTTCTCATAATGTGGGCGGGTACGTCAGAGCGTAGATCCGCTGTGTCTCTAAAAAAAACGTGCGATGTGTAAGAGGAAGCATGATGTCAGTCGAAACCTTGGTAACGCAGTAGGTGTCCGTGAATCGGCCCACAGATCCGCCTCCAGCCTGCCAGGACGAAGCAAAGCCGGTCGTCTAGTAGCCAACAGCCGTCTCCTCCTCCTCCCCCTCCTGTCCCTGCCAAAGCTCCCCCTTAATCCCGGGCCTTTTGATAGGCTCTGGTAACCAGGGCAACAGTCTTGTATGAGTGTCAGCTGATGTGTGTCCAAAGTGCCCGCGCTGTGGCACAAAAGGGGGAGAAAACAGAAAACAAGTCGTCTTTGTTGGAGCGTCTCTGCACCGCCAAAGGTCGCTGTAAAGAGCTGACAAGGACTGTTCGTTTCCCTTACGTTAAATTGCGTCCAAAGGTTGTCCTTCGCTTACAAGCATGAGATCATGTTTACTATCCAGTTATCATGAAGCAAGTGAAATGCTTTAGTCTTTTCTTGACTTGTTATACAATACTGTGTTTAGTTGTCATCAAGTGTTCATTGGCCCGGCCCATCAGCCGTCAACCTTAAATCTGGTGTCTCAGGTTGCCAGGTCTCATGTTTCCTCACTTGCTGCCAGACACTGATAGACATGATGCCAGATTTTTAGATGATTGGCACCAGGGTGACCCCATATGTCAGTGTGGACATTGTGGGTATTATGGAACTGGTGCTTTATGCTCTTATATTATTGCATATACACTATAAGTATAAGGACATAAACTAGCTTTATAAGGCACTCAGCATTATAAAAGTCACTTTTATTGCTTAATCATTGATTTCTTTTTAATAGGAGTAAAATAGAGGTACACAAAGATAATACATCCTTCACTGGCTTGTTGCATTGATTGTGGGGCAAATACTGTGAAATCCCCTTCTGTTTTGAATGTTGTGAAACATGTTAAGAGATTATAACTGGTAGATAACTGGAACATGTACATGATTCCATGGAATTTTATTATAATTTGGAAGTCTGAAAAGATCTTTATGGGATCCTAATAATCCAATTAAAATCAAACAGGATCCTACTGGATTAAATGAAAGAGGATTTTATAAAATTCTTGTCTCCTCTTAGATATGTCTCTATCTTTGTCAGAACCCACTAATGAAAAACTGTTTTGTAACTGGACAGTTAAAGGAAATAATTTCCATAATTTTAAGTTTTTCTTTTTATTCTTTTTTTATGTCATACTGGGGAATTGCATTGGTAGCTGTATTTTTCCTTTTGGCCACTCTGTTCTTAACCCTAAAACTGTATTCTGGACAAAATGTGGGCAAAATAGTGATTTATTTAAAAAAAAAAAATACTTCCATTGATCTGAGCAGTACAAGACTTGGCTACACAATTTTTTTGGACTCAATTCTACAATGTTAAGTGGGTGAAAAAAAACCTCCTTAATCTTGTATTTGGGTCAAAAATGGGCACCCATAGAAATGAATGGGAAAAACTGTAATTTAGAGCATTCTAAAATAAGCCCAAAATAAGACACCAGGTTACAGCAAAGTCACTTCATCTTTAGGTTTTAGAACTTATTGGAATGATATTTTAATGTAGTTAAAAATAATAATAAAACATAAAAATAAGCATAATTTACATAGAAAATATGGTAGTTTTTGAAGTAAATAAATTCAAAAATACGCCCAAAATAAACAAAACACTATAAATGGATAGACAAAACTTTATCGAAGACAGTGATATAACATTTATAATATATAAAAATGAGGATCACACCTGAGTCCTCTGTACCCACATTTGTCCACATTACGAGATTACGGCCTATAAAGTGAATACGGTTTGAGGGCTACAATGATATATTTGTTGTTGTATATTTGTTGACTTTGTTTTGGCTTGCAAAATTTTTGCCCTTAAATATTTTCGCAAGCACATACAAAAGTGATAGATATAATTGGAGGGACAAATATACAGTATGCAATGCTTTTGGTAGTGAACGGAAACTACCAAACTACCTTTTTTTTTTTTTTTTGAGCGAATGCAAAGTTTCTCTGGGGGACTCAAGTGTTTTGAATGGAAACGCAAAGGCATTTAGATGTAATTTTTCCTCATATCAAAATCCGCCAAGCTTTGTTTAAGGCTGCAGTGAAGATTCACATTTCTGTTTTATCTTCTACATTTTTACAGTGTATTTGGTGACATTTACAAATGAATTTGAATTTAACAAATGAAGAATTTATATTTCTGACTGTGGGATTAGCTACAAATTGCATAAATCCTTAATGTTCGCTCTGGATGTTTTTTTTTTTTTGTTGTTGTTTTTTTGTCACGATATTTAAAACTCTCCTCTAAATGTATTACAACAGATCCTATTTTGCACACTCAACACCCACAAAATTGATATGGAAAAGCTGCTGGGAGGGCAGATAGGACTGGAGGACTTCATCTTCGCTCATATAAAAGGGATCAAAAAGGAGGTGGAGGTGTACAAAACCGAGGATGCACTTGGGCTCACCATCACAGACAATGGAGCTGGATACGCCTTCATAAAGGTAGATGCTTCTCTCGAGAACAGGCTGTTATTATGGGATGCCGGCCCTATAGTTTTCTGAGCGTAGCGCGCATACTGTGGCTTGCCTTAGTACTAGCGCTTCCCATGTACAGCCAATGATTTGCATGTTTTTGAAAGTAAACAAATGTAGTACCTGAAGAGAATTTTATGACTTTGTGTAAGTTGTAATATAAAAATGGCATTTACCCTTTTGTCCATTGTTGCTTTTGTTTGGCCATGCTTTGATTGAGAGACCTTAATAATAGAATTATAAGTTAGAAGATCACATGTTGTAGCTCTGAACGCTAGGTTTTTATCTCTAAAGGAAAGTGTCGGTGTTTCTGACCCATTTTTTGAATTGTTTACACATAGTTAAGCCTAGGTAATGGTTAAAGCAAAAGTAGACCTAAATGTATTTGCTCAATTGATGCTTTTAACATGTTAACATTCTTAAAGCTGAAGCATGTGTGTGTTTTCCATTTGGCAGCGTATCAAAGAGGGCAGTGTGGTGGATGGGGTGAAGGTGATCTGTGTGGGAGATCATATCGAAAGCATTAACGGAAAGAACATAGTGGGGATGCGGCACTATGAGGTGGCGCGAATGCTGAAGGAGCTTCCGAAAGATCAGTCCTTCACCCTCAAACTGATGGAGCCCATGAAAGCCTTCGGTTTGTCATTCATGTTTCTTGTTAAAGTACTATTTTTAATTTTTAATGTTGTACGTGACTGATGTATGAAGGAAAATCTAGACAATGGAGTGTAGCAGTGGGTTTCTGGAGTAAAATCCCATTCATTTTCTCCATAGACAATTTTATTTTGAACAAAATATACACCAATGAGCTCTAAGTGATGGTATTTGCTTCTCAAGAAGTCAATGATTTCAATTTGATTTGAAAAGAAAAAAATGTTTAACTGCCTAATTCCCAATGAGGAACTACACTACCCACAATCCTCTAGAGAGATCCACCAATGAGAGAAGCCGTGGCAATATGCTGATTTCACCCAGCCGCCATTTTGAAATCGAAATTGAGGCTCCGGTGGGAGAACCCCAGGACTACCAACCTTGGAGTACCAACCTCAAGCTGCTGCCGTGTTTACTCTATTGATGTTAATATCCAATATAGGATATGTATATATTACGTTCCTGCTTCTTTTTTTACATTCTGAATTTTTTTTATATATATATATATATATATAAATTAATTTCACTGTATATAGTCTAAAGTATGAAAGAAATGTATGTATATTTTTAGAATAACTAATTTATACATTAAACACAACAATACGCCATCACATTCGTGACTCTCCTATGATTAAAGGCGACACTTCCGGTTTTCTTCCCACCGGAGCCATTTCAAAATGGCGGCTGCGTGAAATCAGCGAACACTCACACCCATGAATCATTGCGATTTCTGCTGGCTTCTTCATGTGATCTATTGAATGTATAAATGTAGATTTACTGTTAAAAAAATGTTCTTTCACTTGGCAGAGATGCTTGAACCAAGGTCAAGAGGAGGCGGAGGCGGAGGCAAATCCTCAGGAGAGGGCAAGATCGGCACAGGCAGAGAAACGCTCAGGTTGCGCTCAAAGGGTCCTGCAACCGTCGAGGAGATGGTAACTGTGTTTTACCAGTGTTTCCATAGCTTTTAATAGTGTTGGCACTGAAAATCGAGTTAAGTTGAGAGTATATCTAATGCCTTTCTATTACTCTACAGCCCAATGAGTTTGAAGAGAAGGCAGTGAAGAAAGTGGATGATCTTCTTGAGAGTTACATGGGCATTCGAGACACTGAATTAGGTGAGACTTCTGTAGTGTGCATCACCTATTTCTACAAGATCGTATAAAGGTTTGATTTTGACTTAAAAGTGTATTTTAACTAAATACACTACTGTTGAAAATGCTCAATCTTTAATTATGCTCAATAAGGCTGCATTTCTTAGATCAAGAAACCAGTAAAAACAGTAATGTCTTCATTCCTTCAATTCATTGCTTTAATTTTCAGTGTCACATGATTAATTATAAATCATTCAATATACTGATTTGGTTCTCAAGAAATATTTCTTATTGTCAGTGTTGAAAACAGCTGTGGTGCTTCATATATTTTAGTTCCTTGATGAAACAAAGTTTAAAAGAACATAATTTATTTGAAATATAGTCATCTTTTGTAGCATTATAAATGCCCTGTGCAGGTTAAAAAATGGCTTTTACAAGAGTGACCTGGCCAAGAGGGCAGCAACAAATAGCATAAATATACACATTCATTTCACAACATCCACCGAGTCAATACAATCAAGGATCACAGCAAACGTTTACCAGGGGATACAAGTAATAATTAAATTACCTTGGTGATGGAAGCAAGATTATAGTATTCTATACACTTTATTAGGTACTCCTGTTCAACTGCTCATCTAATCAGCCTAATGTCTAATCATTATTATTAATATCTAATCATCGAGTGAGTGAATTCGAACACTGAGTGTGCTGGAAGGGCTCCAGCTTTTGCATAGTTTGTGCTTGCTGTTTAATAATCATTATAAACTTAGTAAACTGGCAGCTCCAGTAGTATTTATCTTGAACTCTATAAACCTTAATTTAACAATTTAATACTCAATTAAAAAGGAATGTATACCTGTATATCATGCTACAGTCACATTAGACCAGCGGTTTAGAAAATGGATGGATGGATGGATGATGCATCTGCTGGTGCCATCTTCTGGTGAGACGCGGGAATTCATTTGGCACACAAATCTTAAAGTGCATTATGGGTATTCTCTAGCCATTGAGTGTACATCAGTTGTACACTCGTTATTGTGATGCCATATTTAAGGGCAAAGGGGGCGATATCAGACACAGCCATGGTCAAGATGACTGCGATTTTCATGCACATACATCTCTAGGGTTTACAGAGAAAATATCCAGTGGCTGGCAGTCCTGTGGGTGAAAAGGCCTTGATGATTCCAAAGGTCAGAGGTGAATGGCCAGATGTGAAGGAACGGGAAATTCACATTATGGATGTGCAGTTGATCAAACATGACGATATGAGCCAAAATCTCTAACGAATGTTTCCAGCGTCTTGTTGAATCTGTGTCACAGCGAATTAAGGCACTTCTAATGGCCTAAGTGGCCAGTGAGTGTGTGTTTGTGTTGGATAAGCTGAGAGACAAATAGGATAGAGTGAAACCACAGATAGGCTTATAAATAAATCAGTACCAGTTAAAACTTCTCTACGTGTACAGAGATGGTGTTTCAGCCTTGTCATTTAACATGAACTGATGCTTTTTAAAAGCTACAATAAAACAAAGCACTGTTTAAAAAAAGATTCATTAAAAGCAGATCTGTATATAGTCCAATAGTGGTAAAATGTGTCCAAGCTGAAAAGAAAATAAAGTTCTGTTTCTAAAATAAAACTGAAATTTAAGCCTAAGTTTAGAAATTATTTTATCAGTATGCAGCTTAAAAGAAGATTAACTATCAAATAAAATACCCAAGTACTTCTAACTAGCAACACATTAAAAAATTACCCTTGAGGATGTAATATCAGGAAGATTAATGGGTAGAGCTTTGGAGTTTTCAAATATGATTAATTTAGTTTATCTGTATTTAAAACCAGTTTAAGTTGACAAAGACAAGACTAAAATATCAAGCGCTGATTGCAAGTATTGAAGAGCTAGTGAAGCTGATGATGCACAACAAAAAATGCCAGTATCATCTGCATAAAGATGATGCATAGCCTTAGGAATGTTATCACAAATATCACTTGTATACAAGGGAAATAAAATGGGTCCTAGAACTGACACCTGAGGTACTCCTTCAGATACCATCCTTTAAAAGCACACACTGAGTTCGTACTGAAAGGTAATTGGCAATTAAAAAACAATGAATCATTTTAAGGATGTCATGATCAACTGTGTCAGTCTGTACACTGTAAAAAATATTGTTGGTTTAACTTAAAAAAAGTAAGTAACCTGGTTGCCTTTAAATTTTCAGTTCATTGAAATGGAAAACGTGAGTTAATACAACGAAGGAGAATGATTTAATCATCAGAAACTCAAAATTATATGTTATCAGGATTAAATAAAGGATTTAAGTTGATTTGACAGCAGAAAAAATTTTGTGACTACTTGTCATGAAAAGATGTTTTTTACGGCATTAATAATGTCACTAAAAACTTTAAGAGCAGCGTTAACGCTGCTATACTGAAAAGGATAAAGACGATTATTTATTTCCAGGAAATTTTTTTAATTGTTTCTGAGAAGAATCTGTTTGAATGGATCTAGAATACTTAAAGTAACCATATACTATATTCAGTGCATATTTGGGACAGCAACAGAAATACATTTAATTTACTTTTGTATATACAATAATTTTGGTACTGTGTTGTGTAACCACATAATGTCTAGTCTAATGCTGAAAACAAGACGGCTGACCTTTGCAATGCAATTTGGAAACGTTGGTTTGTTGCATTATAAAATGTAAACGGGATGACTTAATCTTCCTTCTCTCTTCTGCACAGCGGCCACAATGGTGGAGGTGGGCAGAGACAAGAAGAACCCTGACGAGTTCGCCATGGCTCTGGACCAGGCTCTCGGTGACTTTGCCTTCCCGGATGAGTTTGTGTTTGACGTCTGGGGAGCCATCGGTGACGCCAAACAGGGACGGTTTTAAACGCTGCTACATACACTGAAATACTGCACAACTCTCAACATGATCCCCTTGATTTCAGCTGTTTATAGCTAGCATACAGAACATTTGACTTTATGTGACCGATATAAATAATAGTCAATATCACCACATAATACAATCTCAAGCCTTTAAAAAAAACCTCCAACAGCATTTAGTCACCCAGTTTTGACCTATTTCTGTGGGTATATATGATATTTAACACAAGCAAAGGGAAAGGGTGATGTTTGAAACTTGTTTTGTATAGAATAAAGGATATACATCTGTTGTCTTTTTAGAGCAATTTTAGATTTTTAATTTATTTAATAAAGCGATAAAATGTTTGATTTTGAAAAAAGAAATTGCAGCGTCAATAGCTGATTCAGAATATACACATGAACATAAAAACGTCATATTAACCATTAAAACGGTGCCATACACTTAATTTAAGAAATTCCACAAATGAATTGGTATCATATTGTTGATTTTGTTGTTTTGAGTTTATTGTAAAATACAATCTATAAGGGATCACTTTGTATGATAGACGTATGTTTATTTTTGTGTGCCTTCACTTTTGTGTTGTCAATTTAATTTTGTATAAACAATTTCTATTGCGCTCAAATCACAAGATTTGTCTTTGCCTGATTTGTTTCACATTAAAGGTGAAAAAGATGTACTAAAGTACTTTGTGAATTTGATCATTCACTGTTGATGAAATAATAAATTGTTGCCTATTTAGTTATTATTATTCTAACATGGTAGCCTGGCTGACGCCAGAACAAGTATCATTGAGAATGAATTGAGAGTGAAAATCGCGGCAAGGGAGCATGGGGAAGCTACTAACATAGCTTAACTTATGTATTGTTGTTTATCATTCAAGCCACAACATGTCATTTAATTCAAATTTAAAGCACTACATTAGCTCAAACTGTTGTGGGTTTGCACTTACTGCAGTAGAGAAGTGGGACAGAGGGAATACCTGGAGGAAGACTGCCCTATGCTGTAACGAAAATCTTTTTTTTTTTTTTTTAATAACTCTTTCAGACGAAACTGCTCCTTGGTGTGGAAATGATTTATATATGAACATAATAATGGTTGAAAAATAAAAACGTTAAACTGGGTTCTACATAGAATACTAAGGTTCTTGATTCAGTTTTAAAGAACACTTTGTAAAAAAACGTTCTATATAAGGAGAAATATTTTAGGATGATTGCATAATACTTTCATGTTCCACTGGTTATTTAAATTATTTTTTTTTCAATTAAAACTAAATGCGTAAAATGATCCCATGGTGAGAACCCTTAAAAGTGTCTTAAAGGAGTAGTTCACTTTTAAAAAAACTTTTGCTGATAATTTACTCACCCCTATGTTATCCAAGATGTCCACGTCATTCTTTCTTCAGTCGTAAAGAAATTAAGGTTTTTGATGAAAACATTCCAGGATTTTCTACATATAATGGACTTCACTGATAACCAAACGGTTGAAGGTCTAAAAGACACTTTCAGTACAAACTGTTCAAAGGGCTTTAAACGATTCCAGACGATGAATAAGGGTCTTATCAAGCGAAACGATCACTCATTTAAAAAAAAAAAAAAAAAGTTTAAGTTTTATAAGCTCAAATGGTCGCCTTGCTCTGTTCTGTGATGCCGTTCGTGACTCTCCTGTTCAAACTCGTTCATCAAAATGAACGAATCTTTTCCAGAGTCAACTCGTTCATTTCGTTCGTTGAATTAACCAAATGACACGAAAAACGATTCATTTGTGCTTATCAAACTTAAAACGTTATTATTTATTAAATGAGTGATCGTTTCGCTTGATAAGACCCTTATTCATCGTCTGGAATCGTTTAAAGCCCTTTGAAAAGTTTGCAGTTTGTACTGAAACAAACTTTTTTTGCAGTTTGTACTGAAACTGTCTTTTGGACCTTGAACCGTTTGGTTCCCATTGAAGTGCATTATATGGAAATTATCAGCAAAAGTTTTTTTTTTAAAGTGAACTACTCCTTTAACCTTTTCCTCCAAGAGTGTTCCAATAATTTCAAGGTAAATTTCTCCAAAGGTTTGGAAACCTTAAATCATCAAAAACAAAATAATACTTTTTGCATTACACAACCTGTCAAAAGTCTAGGGTTATAAAAAATAAATATATTTTATTTATCTATTTACCTTTTATTTTATCTAGGCATTTATTTGTATCAAAAATCTTTTGTTACATTATAAATGTCTTTTCTGTCAACTTAGACGCATTTACTGGATCCATGTTGAATATATATATATATATATATATAAAAACCTGAGCCCAAAATTGGTTGGTATGTAGACATCAGACTTTTATAATTTTATTATAAATTGTATAATTGTTATAATTGTATTATTTTTTAAACTGTTGTTTGTCAACAATGCGTCAAAATAATTTACAGTGCTCGAAATACAGCTGAGACAATGTAGCAAATCATATATACATTTGTTTTATAAAATAAGGAGAAGGGCCTGAGAGACAATATTTCCATAAAGTACCATCAGTCACTCCACTCTATATAAGCTAGCACTGAAATAACCACATTACACTATTTTATATCAACTTTATTTGTAGCCTCATTTTACATATTGGTAAAAAATACCGTATGGTGAAGAAAGACAATTCCCTCAGTCCCAAAAAAAAAAAAAAAATGCCAGTTTACCTTACAGTCCTTAAATCACAAGTATTGTCAATAGTAAAAATCTCTTTTTAAACCAAAGGCAACTCCATATATTGAGGACTAATTCTTTTCTAATACATTTCTAATAGCCTTAACATAATAGATCTGTCACGCTCATGAAAACAAATCATATATTAGATTTAGGTGGGTACAGTTTTGGGGATTATAAGGCCCTTCATATATGCAACTGGGTAACTGGATAAGTTTCACCACAGCTTGCAAGATATGGCTTGGAAGCACAAGAATCGCCTGTGTTAAATGTTTCTAAGTCGGACAAAATGTGGAGTGCCTTGAGAATGAAGTCGCTTCCGACATGAATAATCAACATAGGACACGCACGCTTTGAATTTGAAAGAAAACAAAAAAGCCCTGTTTTAGCATCCTTTATGTGACATGGACAGCGTTATGAATTCCTTCATTTTTGAAGCTTCTTGTGCTATAGCAGGTCAAATGAAATCCCAGGAGGAGTTGAGGTTGGGGATGAACAGATGGATGGAGAGTGCCCAGCGGAGAGATGTAGTGTGCCGGTTGAGATCTTCCCATGCCACTTCTTCCGTTCTCAAAGTTCGTCACCAACGTGAGCGTTCCTGAAGGCATCTCCAGTCAGCTTCTCTTGAGCTTCCTTCATGCTAGCCACAACTGCACATGGAAGAGACGCGAGGTCAAGTCTAATTTGGTTTTCAAATGTTATCTTCAGAATGGACTGCACACACTGTCAATCCTGCTTTGCTATTCGAAAAGCATGTTACACTATTAGCAAAGTGGATGAAAACTAAAATTCATGCTCAGCTAAAGTCAATACAGTGCATTATTTATGGTATTACCAATTCAGACTCATTGGGGAAAGATATTTAGTTGTTTCCTGCATATTTCAAAGTAAAAATGTCTTACCTTGATCTGCATTGCTGTAGAAATACTTGTAGTTTGGGTTTCCATTCTTGTTTGTGATCTCTGAGTGGACTTTACCTGTGGGATCTAACAAAGAGTAAAATAGTTTTTTTTTTCCATCTATGTTGTAAAAGTCGCCTTGGCCATTTACTGACACCTAGTGCTGTGGATGTAGCATCACATGAGTAAAATGTTTTGTTGCTTATGATAATGTGGGCTTAATTTGGTAAAGGTAGTTTTATTTGGCTGGTTATGTGATGACAACATTTCACCACCCATTAAGACACTGAATCTTCCCTCCCTCCATGTAAAATGAAATAAAACTGCTTTTATTAGACCATTAATATAGCCTTCATCAAGAAAACTGATGAGATTTCTGTAGGAATAAACTTTTTTTTAATGATAAAGGAAATGGAGTCCACCCACCTTTCAGCAATGGTTGATGTTCTGAACTAGTGCATTTGCTTGGCCGATTTGTTTATGTATATAACCTACCCAGGAAAAGTATTCTGGGAATGTAACCACCGTCTGGGCTGAAGGCCTCATCTTTAGGCTCCTCTTCATCCTGTAGCCACATGGGACATGTAATGAGAAGATTAATAAATGCAGTAGAAGTTCAGTTCATTTTACTAAAGTAGTTAACTAATGAAACCTTTTTGTAAAGTGTTACCATATAAATAATTATAATAAATAAATAAAGGAAAATATTACTCACCTCCAAGTTAATCATGACAAAGTTGTGGGCCAACTCAGAGATGTCCTTGGATTCAGCAAACTTGGGCTTTAGTGCTGAAGTTATTTTTTACAACATTAATGTACACTTCAAGGTAACAGAATAGGCCAAACATACACTACTGTTCAAAAGTTTTAGGTCAGTGAGTTTTTTTTTTTTTTTTTTTTTTATTAATAGTTTTATTCAGCAAGAATGCATTACATTGACCAAAAGTAACAGAAAACAAAAATCTATTTCAACTAAATGCAGTTCTTTTTTTACAGTTTCCACGAGAATTTTAAGCTGTTTTCAACATTGGCTATAATGTGAAATGTTTCTTGAGCATCAAATCATCATATTAGAATGAATTCTGAAGGATCATGTGACACTGAAGACTGGAATAATGACAATTCAGCTTTGATCACAGGAATAAATAGTCTAAAATATATTCAAATAGGAACAGAGTTGTTTTAAACTGTAATAAGATGTTACCTTACTGTGAATTATTTTTTATGTTGTACCCATTACTTATTACTTACATAATATTGTGTTTTTTTCTTCTCAAAAACATTAAACATATTTCTGACCCCAACCTTTTGAATATTATTTTGAAATACTTAAGCATTTCCATTCTTATGACAAATATTCTGACAGAAGAAATACCTTTACAGGCGCCACACCAAGTCTTGTGAACAATGACCATCAGAGGGAGTCCACTGGACAGAACAAAAATCAAAGATACAGTAGGTTTATGGGATTACACTTGACCTGATTATATTTCTGAAAGACATATACCTTTCATAGACATATTTAAAGGGATAGTTCACTTTGAAATTATATTTCGATATACCCAAGGGCATCCAAGATGTAAGTCTCTTTGTTTCTGCAGTATTTTCAATTTTGACATTTTTAGGTTAAACCGTTGTTGTCTGTCAGTCATATAATGGAGGTCTATGGTCACCACCTCAAAGAGCATGCACAGAGAAGTCCAAATTAAACATGATTTAATGACTCGTAAATCTAATACACATTGATGGCCTAAGACATGAAACGAGTGGTTTGTGTGAGAAAACAAACAGTATTTATATCGTTTTTACCTCTTGTAATCACAGCCACATTTGCATAAAGTTAAAAATTTCTCAACTTTGTCACGTAGCTGGACACGCCCTTCCGGTCGCCAACGGTCGCCGGAAGTCGCCTGCTCACCATTGAAAATGAATGGTATTGTACGAGTCATTAAATCATGTTTCATTTGGACTTCTCTGTGCATGCTCTTTGAGGTGGTGACCATAGACCTCCATTATATGACTGACAGACAAGAACAGTTTGACCTAAAAATATCAAAATTGTACTGTGGAAACAAAGACACGTACATCTTGGATGCCCTTGAGGTAAGCTAAAACATCTCAAAAATTATTTTCAAAATGAACTATCCCTTTAAGCCACAATGTCACAGACATGAAAGGGTATTACAGTCATATATACCTTGCTTCAGCCTCCTTCTTCCCATCTTCAAGGGTCCTCCAGTGAATATGGTCCCCAAATCCTTTAATAAATACAAACAAATGCATATGTAACATGATACATCCGGTTGAGAACCAGTGTACCTGGAACAAGCCAGGACTATAACATCAGAACAAAGAGATCTGACACAAAGCTCATGAGATCAGAGATCCTATCAAAGTATTTCATCCAATTTCCTAATGCGAATGACTGTTCTCTGACGACGTTCAGCATTCATAACTCTAAATTCATTTGATCCTTTTTGGATTGCAAAATCCCACCAACTCAGGTTAAAGATGAGCTCATATCTGAACAAAACACACTGATTTGACAAAATACGGAGATGCTGTAACAACACACAGTCACCCTTACTAAGATAGTAGTGAGTTTATCTCGGTCAGTCGAGAGTTGCATTAGATCCGCGTTCCGGGTCAGAAGCCGGTGATCTGACGCTAGCACGGCTAGCTTGGATAGGGATTGTTCTAGATCGATTGTCTAAATGTATTAACATTTTTTTACCTCGTCCTTTGTCCTCAGCTAAGACCTCCCCGAAATGTGATGCAATAAAAAACAGTATAAATGAAAGCAGCGTAATGTTGAGTAAAGACGACGGCATTTTCATTCCGATGGTTGTTAGCCTTGAGCTGCCCTGATGTGACGGAGAGAACCCGGCCGGCGGCCGCTGGGTCCTAAATCCTGCCTGAAAAATCTTAAGGTTGCCATATTCTTCTGGGACACAGAATATACATTTGTCCACGCACTGAACACTGTAGTGGACATTATATTTAAGTGAATTTCTCTCTGACACCATACAAGCACATGCTTTTCAGAGATAGGAGGTTAAGAACATCATCATCCAGGGGCTAGGACCTCAAATAATGAAAAATAAAATATCAGACGCAATCAATAAAATCTGCATCAATCATGGAGGTTTCACCATGAAAACAACTTCTCCTTGGTCTTTAAAATTGGTTGACATTAATTTAATTTAGAGATCAAATGCAGCACTCATGGATATATAGGCTACATTCATTCTGATTATTTTTTAAATTTGACTAGGCTAGCCTAGGCCTACTTTTCAAATTGTAAACCAACCTCTCAGGAAAACGTTATGGGATGTTTAATCAGGATGACTTTCTGTTGGGGATCAATTTCACACATGTCCACTGTGTCCAACATGTCCAATAATTTTTGGGACTGGCATTTTGGGAAACACAACGAGTGAATAGGGAAATAAATTACACATCAATATTTCTATTAGATACCTATTATTAAAATGTTAACAATTATTAGGCCTACTCCCATTATTACATTTGATTTTTTCATTACATGTTGCCCCAGGAATACATTAATATGCGAATTAGATACAGTGTATAGCCTACCATTGTATTGGATGTAAATATTTTACCCACATATTGCATAAAAAAGTAAGGTGTATCAATTCTGTTATATAACTTTTTCTCAGGGGGATATGGCAAAAATTAATTTCTACTCATTCCCTGTTATTCAGAAATTAAAATTGTATTAAAAGGGAATAGCCAATGAGGTGCTTGAATGCCCTTCAACTGTCTTTCCCTGTCACCCTCACACAACTCTTGTTGTGCTCCAGAAACTGCTCTAATAACCTAATTTCTCTTCTCAAAGGGGATTTTTTTGTAGCATCAACAATATGATTGCAGTTATTTATTTATTTGAAGTGTTTATTGTAGTATAGGTTGCATTATATAACAAAATGATTTCTTCTTTTTAGAAAATGAGAAGAGTAAAAGGAAGAGTGCAGAATCAGCTCTTCCATGTGATGAGAGTGAGGTTGAGTTGATCTCATTGACTTCCATAGTAGAAAAAAAATATACTATGGAAGTCAATGAGACCAGAAACTGTCTGGTTACTGATATTCTTATAAATATCAGAAAATCGGCTGAATGGATTCGAAAATGGTAAAACTGAACTGTTTAACTCTGGGGGAGTTGTAAAATGAGCCTATTTCCAAAAAAAAAAAAAAAGTGGAGTAGCCCTTTAAATACTCTAGGTACACAGTGATGATGAGACAATGACAAACAGGTGAGATGATTAATAAGTGTCCATAAAGACTGGCAGGAAACTAGGAACTGACAAAAACGAAGGCCTCATCCACACTGATCCTCAACAAACTCGTCTCCATATGAGTATTATTATACCACACCATATTATTGTTATTTTATTATTATTTTTATTTTTTTTGGGTGCGGCAAATGTTCTAAGCCAGTTGTTTTTCTCTCTCTTTCTATGGCTGAAGATGAAAAAAATATTCTCAAATTTTGTCATATTATATTGAAAATATTTCTTGAAATTACAATGCAGTAATTCAGTGGTTGGAGACTTCCTCTTTTGCTATGACACCAGCTCAGTTAAACCATTTGTATGATCATTAAGAATAGTGAAACTAGAAAATAGAATTTCTCAATATTTGGTTGCGCTGATGATGAAACTGCAAAATGTCAACCATTTTTACATGCAAGAAAAGGTAGGGAAGCAGAGAAGAATTAGAATCTTAGTACTATACCTTATAATAATGTTAGTATGATTTGTACATCAAAAGTTGTCCTAATTATGAAATAACCCTGATTTTAGCCCTCTGATTTGAATGCTATGTTTGAAGGGGCATGTCTGTGAGACTTCAGTGTAAACGCCCACTGTGCTGTGATTGGCTGACATCATTGCAACGCTCTCGAAAACTTTTAGCACGTTTTTACTATTACAGTTCTCAAGGTTAACTAATTGTAAAAAGTGTTGATTATAGCATTATATTTTGATCTATATATTTATCCATGGCATGAAAGGTTGCAGTGATGAGCATGTAGCCGATCACAGACATGTTGAGCGCATGAATGCTGAGATCTCATCATTGCAACTCGATTTCTGCACACTAACAGATGCTTTCATCATAACAGTGCAATGCGCATAACAGTCCATGGTGCAAACACAATAAGAGATCTTTTGAATATAACAGGAGTTTCGGTGAGAGAACTGCTCCAGCTATTGTATAGGGAGCGTTCTTTGATTGCCTTCTATAAATTAATCACAGTTTAAGTTTTTTTTCCTACTTCGAGAAACAATGTGAATCCGACCATTATAGTGACTAGTTTGATTTACTGACACATAGACAAAGAACACATCAGAAATCTCGAATGACAGATCAGGCATTAGAATGAACAGCTGCTGGTGATTCCATTTTATAAAAGTCTGTTTGCAAAACATGCACCGAAATTGCGACTGATTTACCAAAGAATCCACAGTGAAATGTACCGAACAAACAAATAATGCTCAACTGAGACATTCACACTGTTGAAAATAACCACAGTCGCATTAGGATCCATTGGAAGGTAATGCTATTTTTAATCGAGTGATCCTGTATCACTCTTCTCTCCTTGACATCTCACTCGTCATCCAATGGGCAGGGCCAAATGATGAAGTAGGAGTCGATTTTCATTCACGTAGCCTATCTATGGCACATTCCACAATGAGACGCTCCAACCCGATCTCACGACCAAGTCGTACGAATTCGACGAATGATTAAAAAGTGGCTAATTCGTAACAATTCATACGACCTCACTCGTACGAATTAATACGATTTTGCTAAATCGTACATATTTTACGAATTGGCCAATTCGTATGAATTCGTACGAATGACCTACCCCTTACCCCGCCCCTAAACCTAACCATCACGTGGGTTTAGACAAATCGTACGAATTAGTACGAGTGAGGTCGTACGAATTAGTACGAATTAGCCACTTTTTAATCATGCGTCGAATTCGTACGAATTGGTCGTGAGATAGTGTTGGACGCTCTGTTTCGGACTAACAAGGAAGTTTTCAGTTCTGAAAAGTACATGATGTTCTTGTAGTATGATGACCTCTAGATCTCAAAAGCAAAAATGTGATTTCTCAATTCATGACCACTTTAATGCCTTGTTAAAGGTATAGTTCACCCCAAAATAAAAGTTTTGTTCCAAACCTGTGTGAGTTTCTTTCATCTGTTAAATACAAAAGAAGATATTTTGAAGAATGATGGTAACCAAACAGTAGCAGTCACTGACTGCCATAGTATGGAAAAAAAATGGCTACCATCAAATGTTTGTTCATCAACATTCTTCACAATATCTTCTTTTGTGTTCAACAGATGAGGGAAACTCATACAGGTTTGGAACAACTTGAGGGTGAGTAGATGATGAAAGAATTTACATTTGTGGGTGAACTATACTTTTAATATAACAGTGATAAACAAATACAAAGAAATGATAACCTGAGAAATCTCTTTTCTTATCGGTCGTTATTAAGGTAATAATTGTAATAATTTAAAAGTGTTTCAGTTTTTTTGTGTATTTTCACTCAGATTATGTGTTTGTTGTTGTGACTTTGCTCATATTTCCACCAATTTATAAGACAAATTATATTGCAGTATTAACAAATGATATCTTACTATGGAAAATCATGACCAGTACAAAGTTTTGCTGAAATGCAAGGTCCACCTTTAATAAAACAGCAAGAGACAAATCAAAATTTCATAAATTACTCCATAAATAAATAATGCTTAAATACAATAAATAACTTAATAATAAATAATCATTCCTTTTAGAAACAGTAAACTAAAATAAATTGGCCGGTAACAACTGCTAGCTTGCTATTTTGCCAAAATGTAGTTGAAAACTCGGTTTATTGTTATTGTCCGAAGGTTGAAACCCTTTAGGACTTTGCACAGCTTAAGTCGCTCTTGAAAAGAGTTTTGATGATCCATGAGCACCTGAAAAAAAAAAAAAAAAAAACACACAATCATACTTACAAATCAAAGAAGTTAAAAGAATGTATTAAAAGCAACATAAAAATATAACCGGTTTTACCTCTGCCGGAGATTTGTCCATTACAGAGACAGAGAAACAGTTCTATGATGAAAAAAGAAAGAATAATAAAAAACAAGAATAAAGAGCGTCGCAGTTATAGTTACTTAACATTAGTTTAGTAAAGGTGTTTGTACCTGCATGAGGTCATCGATGCTTCTGACGACTGTTTTGAGCTCTGGATTCGAGTAGGCTTGAAAAGTTTCCCGATAGTAGAGGAGATCTTCTAGAATTCTCTTCAGGCATTCATTCTACAAAGACACATGTCAGTGTAAAAGACAAAAGATGCAGCCAATAAACAGAAGAATGGGAAGAATGCTTTTTAAATTTACCTCATCAATATTAAGGACAGTGCTGCGAGCACAGTCGGCGTTCTGTTGAGTGAAAAACAAATAATAGTCGTCAAATTATGTTTTTGATAATGCCGAAATTCAGCAATCAAGAATTAACTGTCATGAAGACAGGAGGCTGATCAGTAGGGATTTTTGAATACATTGGTTATCTATATTCAGCAGCAAACCTAATAAGGAAAACCTGAAATATATGCTTTTAAACACAATTTCAGAGAAACAAATTCACAGTGTCAGAGAAAACATTCATGTGACAGTTGTCATCAAGCTGACTCTCATCACGGCCGAGTGTTCTCTGGTATTACACACAATGTTAAAGGGTTAATTCACCCAAAAATGAAAATTAAGTCATTAATAATTACTCACCCCCATGCTGTTCCAACCCCGTAAGACCTTCGTTCATCTTCGGAACACAAATAAAGATATTTTTGATTGAATCTGAGAGCTGGATCAGTCCTAGATAGACAGCCTAAGGGACTGGCTCTTGACGGCCCATAAAGTCATTAAAGAAAAGGTTTAAATATTCCATGTGCCTACAGCGGCTCAATTATAAGTTTATCAAGCGACGAGACTACTTTTTGTGCGAAAAAAACATAAATAACGACTTTATTCGACTATTCCATTACTTCCTTATGGGCACATGCGCGAGAACTGAGACGAGGACGTTCTCATTCGTCTACTTCTTGTTACCGGCTGCTCACCGCTTAGGAGTATTACCGCCACCTACCGTATAAAATGATGATCCATATATAAGGCGCTCCGGATTATAAGGAACACTGTCGTTTTTTGAGAAGATTGAAGGCTTTTAAGTGCACCTTATAGTGCGGAAAATACGCTAATTGAAAAGCGTATGTACAGCGCGCATCTTCCTCTGCTTGTAAACAGAAAGTTTTGCGCTTCCAGCTATATCAGCACATCATCTTATACGGTAGGGGGCGGTAAAACTCCTAAGCGGTGAGCAGCCGGTAACAAGAAGTAGTCGAAGGAGAACGTCCTCGTCTCAGTTCTCGCGCATGCGCCCATAGGAAGTAATGGAATAGTGGAATAAAGTCGTTATTTATGTTTTTTTCGCACAAAAAGTATTCTCGTCGCTTGATAAACTTATAATTGAGCCGCTGTAGGCACAGGGAATATTTAAACCTTTTCTTTAATGACTTTATGGGCCGTGAAGAGCCAGTCCCTTAGGCAGTCTATGTAGGACTGATCCAGCTCTCAGATACAATCAGAAATATCTTTATTTGTGTTCTGAAGATGAACGAAGGTCTTACGGGGTTGGTACAGCATGGGGGTGAGTAATTAATGACTTAATTTTCATTTTTGGGTGAACTAACCCTTTAAACAGACCCGGGACACAAAGTAATAGATTGGGACCCAAACTGGTCCTCCGCATAGACCTCTAGTGCCAAATGACATGCATCTCCACCTCTCTCCCGGATGTCTAATAGGTGGAGGGATAGATTTATAGGTAGGGTTCGGGTGTAGTTGGGTATATTCTAGCACCACCCACTACCCCCAAATTACATTCAGAGAGGGGCAGCTGGACTTCACTCTCCACCATGGCTCTGCAGCGAGAGGGCTCTCGAGTTTGGGGGCGAATGAATCCCCAAGGAGGAGTAGTAAATTCCATTCGTTTTTCAAACATCCCATAATAGCCGACTTCCTGTTGGGCTGGCCTATGCCGTAAACATGGCTTGATAGTAATTTGGTTACTGTAGTGCAAAAGCCATAAAAAAAAAACATACAAAAAGGGTGTGCCTCAGACCGTCAACTTGTGCCTGGACCTAATTATCGACTTTTACAAAGCGTGTGCACATTTTCAAGAGTTTTTGAGCATGTTAAGGACCCCAAAAGTACCTGAAACTTTGAAAGGAAATAATAATAATTGTTTGTAAAACAATAGGACCTCTGCCGGTTTGGCTTGGGCCCTAATAATAATAATTAGGTAACACTTTACAATACGGGTGTACTAATATGCATTAATTCGTTACTTAACTAATGCACAGATAATCATGAGTTAATGTATAACTTATAAAGAACTAAACCATTAATTAATGATTACTGCATCAGCAACTAATAAAGAGTCTATATGATTAATAGATTAAGTAATACATGAATTTCAATGTCATTGTGTATTAATTCCATATTTGTTAATGTGTTAATTAGCACAATTAGTCAAAGCACTTAAACTTCCAGTTGTCTGCTTTAATTAATCATTAGCTAATGAAGTCATTATATATTTACTTTACTTGTTGAGGCACATCATTATTAACTAGTCTTTTAGTAATTGTTGTAATTTGCACATGAATTTGCACCAACAATGAAGTAAATAATCATGTATTAATGCATATTAGTGCTCTGGAAGTTGAAATACAAGGCTTTGGCTCATTATGGTAATTAACATTAGGCTACTTAACACTATTAGTTAAAAAATTAGTTATTATGGAATTAATCCACAATTACATTAATTACTAACAATTCATGTATGAACTTGTACATTAACCTTACAGACTCTTAATTAGTTCCTAATGTGGGAATCATTAATGAATAGCTTATTAGATAATCATTAGTTACACATTAAGTCAGTATATCTGTGCATTAGTTAAGCATGAATTAATGCTTATTAGTGCACCCATAACAATTTTGAAAGTGTGCTCCACTATTAGAGCATAATGACATCACTCTTACCTGCGGTGTGCAGGTAGCCACCGTTTGCGTCCTGAGGTGCACCTTTGCGTTTTGCTGTGTGCAGTCGAACCCGCTGAACAAGTGGTCCTGTGAGCGGATAATAAACATTATTAGACTACTTGTGTGTGTGGACATCCATTTGGGGTGTCCGAAACCTGCTGGTTTATTGAATAACAGTCACTCACCATCGCGAGCACCGCGGACACGTTCCAGAGCAGGGAGCGCGCGAGCGCGTTGCACGTCGTTCCTGTGAGGCTCAATGGAGATTCACGCGCTCCGACCGGACCGGCGACGCCACAGCGACACAGCGCGAGGCACAGGATGCTTACTGACACATCTTTAACAAAACAACATAACATTTCACAAAACGTGAAGGATAAATTGGACAGCTACACTAGAGCCGGGATCGTTTGTAGATTAAAAACAGTAACAATAGCCTACTTACAAGTACAGAGCCTGGGCAGCATTGTTGCGTTAAGCTGTTGCATATTATAGTGCTTAGGATCAGGATTTGTCCTTTTTATACATCTTTTGGAGGTATGGGAGTTCCCTTTTCGAAACATATTAACTCAAATGAAAACAACCCGCTGCCCATGTGTTTTGTAATTTCCGTGGTATCACAGATTTTGAGTCCTGGAGTTTAGGACACGATGCTTGCATACATTGGGAATTAACGCACGTTTCGATTTACGCAGACATAGGCTACTTCACAAACAGTGTGAGGGACAGGATAACAATCTTGAACCTTCTTATTCGGTAAAGCCCCTATTGTCACTTTAACAGCATTTTAAATTTAGCTCCATTCTCGTTTACAGTCATAAACATTTGGCAGAAACACGTAAAGAAGGGTTAAGAGATGAAGAGATGTCCATGTGCAACGTTCCAAAGAAATTGTATTGAATGTTATGATAGTAAAATAAAAATATTAAAAAAAATCCCAGGTTAACATCAGTCTGACAACATTTGTGGTATGCATTGTTGATAACGTAACGAATTTCTGAAATTAAACAAATTGAAACAAAAAGGAAAAGAAAAAGGGACAAACGACAAAGGTGAAGGGACATACAAGTATGGGAGAAGATTAATGTGTATTTACTTATTTATTAAGGATGTGCAGGGCGATGATGATGCATCAGCCAATGTGTTATTATAGTAAATTTACATTTTCCAATTTAGTTAGTTATATAAATCTCAAACATTAAAATATTAAAATCGCATACTTTTACATTTTTAATATTTCTACATTTCGAAAGTGTCATCTAAATTAAAATACTAAATATGTCTGATGTCTAATATGTCTGAAATGTACATCTAATTCATGGAAAAAATGAATAATAACCCCATTAATTACAAAGATGATTCTTATCGTAATTATTAAAATAAAATTACAAAACACACAGAAATATTCACTATTTCCCAGAGACACCAAATTAAATAAATTAACCGTTTCGGCTGACTAAATCTCAAGTGTCGATAGTCAGATTAAATGACAAAATAAAAGATAGCAAAGCCATTCATCAAAAAGTCCTTAGATGAGATTCGTGCCATCACTGGTAAGGAGAAAAAAAAATCATCTTTCCCTGAAGTGTATCTTCCCCCAAAATTAGCAAAGTCACCATGAAATCAAAATTGACAATTCTTATTTTTATAATTAGAATGTTGCAGAATTTATTATAATTCTTTTTATTCATGCACATCATCATCATTATTATTATTTTTTATTATGTGCCCTCATAATCTTTAATTAAAATAACTTCCCCTCCCTCTTGGCTCATCTCTTTCTCTTCTTTGATGATGTGTTTACTGGCACGAGGGCGGGGCAATCTGTCAATCACATGAGATCAACCAATAGCAAACCACAATCAATTCCCCATTGACAGAATCAAGTCCCAAACTACATTTGCTCTTGTTCAAGAAGCTGATTCATCACAATGCGGGATACATCACAAATCAGAAGTTCATTCCGACTTTAAAATCCCGCCCAAGCTCAACAGCATTATAATGTATAGCACACCTTTAAGCTAAGGGTTTAAACATATATATTATTTGGACTGATATTTAAATGATTTATTAAAGATAATGTTAACAAACTTTTACTGTGGTAAAATGATTAAAAACCTAAAATTAAAAAGCCAAAAGTGACAGAAAAAAATGATCTCAAAAAACAATGTTAATGATTTTATGAAATTATAAGCATCAAAAAATGAATGTCCATCTAAGTGCTTCACTATAACCTTGATATTTTCTGTTTCTTCTTCTGACAGGTCATAATTTAACTTGCATTAAACTGGAATGTTCCTCTTTTTTTCCCTTTAATGTCACATTTCAAGTAAAACTGTCACATTTCCTCTCTTTGGCACCAGTGATTGAAGCATGAAACAGCAAGCTTTCCTATATCGTCATTTGGAGGGTTTTTCAAAAATGTACATAAAATCAAGTAAGATGTTAACAGAGGCTGATATTTGAAAAACTCTCATGAATTGCCCCCCCCCCCCCCCCCCCCCCTTTTTTTTTGCAGGTGGCAGTTCCTGGAAATGCCTCATTACTGAGTTTACATTCAAAAAACATATATATTGTATACATATGTATTTTTTTTATATATACACTACCGGTCAAAAGTTTTAGATCGGTAAGATTTTTTGTTTTTAAAAGAAGTCTCTTCTGCTCACCAAGGCTGCAATTATTTGATAAAAAATACAAAAAAACAAACAAAAACAAAACAGTAATATTGTAAAATATTATTACAATTTAAAACAGCAGTTTTCTATGTGAATATATAGTGAAGTGTAATTTATTCCTGTGATCAAAGCTGAATTTACAGCATCAGTGTCACATGATCCTTCAGAAAGTATTATAATATGATGCCCAATAAATATTTATGATTATTATCCATGTTGAAAACAGTTTTTACATTTTTATTTCAGGATTCTTTGATGAATAGAAAGTTCAAAAGAACAGAATTGATCTGAAATGTAAAGCTTTTGTAACATTAATCACTACCATTCACAAGTTTGGGGTCAGTAAGAATTTATTTTTTATTTTTGAGGGAAAGAAATTAGAAATTAGACTTTTATTCATCAAGGATGAGTTAAACAGATCAAAAGTTACAGTAAAGACATTTATAATATTAGAAAAGATTATATTTTAAATAAATGCTCTTCTTTTGAACTCTCTATTCATCATAGAATTTGGGGGGAAAAATGGTACATGACTGTTTTCAACATTGAAAATAATAATTTATGTTTTTTTAGCATAAAATCAGCATATAGAATGATTTCTGAAGGATCATGTGACACTAAAAACTGATGTGTAATGCTACAGTAATGATGTTGAAAATTCAGATTACATTTTAAAATATATTAAAATAGAAAACAGTCATTTTAAATTGTCATAATATTTCACAATATTACTGTTTGTCATTTTTTTCATCAAATAAAGCAGCCTTGGTGAGCAGAAGAAACTTCATTTAAAAACATAAAAATACCGATCTAAAACTTTAGACCGATATTGTACATTTTATCAATATATACAGTAGGCTACACATTCCCTTATTGCTTTTTAAGCCACAATGTTTAACAAGACTGGAAACCCCATTAAAAACAACTTAACTGCCTTTATTTTCCTTATTATTTATGTTAATTGTGTGGAGCAGACACGTCATAACTGATGTAATATTGTGTTGCTGGGCTCTTGTCAGGGAGAGAGTGGGAGTGCAGTCTTGATCTGCGTAATCTGGCCACAAAAAGGAAGTAGAACTACTCGACTCTCGGGTCAGTGCCGTATGCTAACACTTTCTGACAAAGTGCTATTTTGTCAGATTTACGGTGTTAAAATTCTGCGGAGATCTGAAGTGAACTCAAAGTAAGAGCGATCTGTTTTTTTACATAGTTATTTTCATTTATTGCGTTTTTTTTTTTTTTCATTTTGCAGTTTCGTTTTTGGACTGACCTAATACAAACCACAATGACACTTGTTTGGTGTTGAGTGCTTCGTGCCTTGTGACAGTTTAGAAGATCAAAACATACTGGCCCATATTAAGTCATTTATTTGACCGTGATTTCCTTTTACAGTTCTGTGCACGAATACAGAATGGTGTGTCACTTACATCTGTGAAACAGGAAAACACATTTAGAAGAAAAAGCAAGTAAAATAGGCATTCTTAAAAGACTGGCATTATAGTTCATTGTGAACACATAATACATTTCCACCCACTAGGCAGCTTCAAACAAATATAATGCTAACATAACATTATTCTAAAATTCACGTTTGGTTAGGATTTCTTTTGCTTCTGAATTGATATGGAAGCTTGTTTCTGCCACAGAATAAAAAAAAAAATCAAAAAAGTAATTGCCACTTTTTATCTCACAATTTAGAGTTTTTTCCTCAGAAACCAAATTGGAGTTTATAACTCGCAATTACAAGTTTACTGTAATATTAACTAAAAAAAAAAACTGTTTCTTCACAATTGCGAGTTTATATATATATCACAACTCTACGTCTTACTTTTTATTCCTTGCAATTGTGAAAAAAAAAAAAAAAATCCCCCCATGGTGGAAAAAATCTTCCATAGTTCAAGGGATAGTTCGGCTAAAATGAATAAGCCTTTTTTATTCTATGGAAAATAAAAAGATATTTTGAAAATGGCTTCATGTTTTTACCCTAACAATGAAAGCCAATGGGGGTCCAATGTTGTTTTGGACCTAATTCAATGTACGGACAAAAACCATTCTTGGAAATATCTTTAAGCAGGTTTGAAATGACATGAGGGTGCGTAAATGATGACAGAATCATTTAATTATTGAGTGAACTATCTCATGGTTGTTTCCCATTAAGGTCCAAGTGACCTACAATTCAATACATGATGAAACCAGCAGACATTCTACACAGGAACAGATCCATCCTGTCAGTGATTGATTCATGTTGAATGGTTCTTTTACATTATGAAGGATCGGCAGGACTTTCTCAAAAGTGAGTGTGTAACCCTCAGCTAAGGTGCGGGCATGCATGAACACATACAGCATGTTAAATTGACATACATCCACACAAAGCTTGTAAACATAGGCAGAAACACACACATCTAGTTGAAAAAGGGTCTATAGCGAGTACACTGTTCATAATATAGTAAACACAAGTGGATGGACCCTGTGCTGATTGCCTCAAAATGGAGAATCACAGCGACCGTGGCAAACTGCTTTGTTTTTGCCTGAGACTTCTCCGTCATGTGCTTCTGCTGGCTGTGCGCATGCCTGTTCAAAAACAAGACAGAAAAGATTTTTTTTTTTTTACACGGCATTTCATAAAAAAAAACTTATTTTAGGCTCACATTTAAAGTACCCATATTATGTTTTTTTTTTTTTTATATGAATTCATGTAGTCTTATGCGGCTGTAAATGTATAAGGTCTGCAAAGTTTTAAAGATCAAAGTTTTTAAATTGAATTATTTTCTCGTAAAAAAAAAGAAGAAGAAATGATTCTAAACTGGCTGAAATGAGTTGTCAGTAATATCTAGTCTTGCCCCCTATGGTT